TGTATATTGGTGACCGTTACGTTAGTCATGAGAATATGATACCCAGTGCTGCCATGACTCCAGACTTTAAGGATCGCCATCATTATTTGCTTACCAACTGCTGTGTCTACCCTGATATAGTCACGTTCTCTATAGTAGACCACAGCTTAATACAAACTTTCTGTATATGAGGGAGACACCATGACGGGTGTTTTGGAGACAAATACCTATATATATTGTTTTACCTTATAAAGAAGGTTAAGATGCATTTCCACGCACTCTGGGTTGATTTAACTCTACAATAAACTTCTGCTTTGTAAAACATTTTCTATCAAATATATTTGGCTGACATTTTCGGTTCCTCATCTTGTCGATTTTGTGTCTAGGTTCTGTCCTAGTGAATTGATGCTTGTGGCATTTCTCTTTTTTATGATTATCATTCAAAGCAGATAATCATTTGATGCGATATTTGTTTCGCTAAAATACCCTCATCATAACACTTGTTTGGTAACTGTATCATTGAGTTTAATATCAAATTAATGCAGACATAATTACATTAAAAGTTTAAATTGTGTAATGACGGTATCATTGGTTTGAACGTATGTGTATTGACGGTATGTTTGATCCCAAATACTGATTTTGTGACAGTTCCTGGTAAAAATACTTATGAAGTGGCAGTATAAAGGAAAACACAAAGGTCTCATTCACACACAACAAACAAAAACAAAATAGGAAAAAAACAAATTTCAATCATAAATTGAACGTTTATAGATTGACAAATTTGAACTTTGATAAAGAAGAGCATTTGAGAGTGACAATGGAAAACAAAACTGGTCGTTTTAACAGTTAGGCTGGTTAGTGACCGGAAACAAATATTGAAACAACTCCTGTCGTCAGAAAGACATCATTATTTTATTTATACATCAATATCGGGGTAGGCAGAACACGAGTCTAGCTTTCCACAGCTGGTACATATGTGGGGTCGTGCGTCTCCACACTGACAGCCGTTATTAGTACAACAGGCACAATCAAATCTAGTCTTGTCAAAGCCACATTGACAACCAGAACCTGTCGATGTGTAGTGGTTGATCTCTGTAATGAAACGAAATCAACGCTGCCAAAATTATCATCGAATAATACATGTAGATATCTAAAACTTAAAAAAAAGGAATAAAAGGAATAACAAAAAAATCCTCCGAAACTATATACAGCTACACGAGCTTTATAAGTCAGGTTGTTAGAGTTCCTCATCAAGGGAACAAACAGTTTTTCGCTTTCATCTAATAATGACGAACTCCGTTTTAAACGGGGAAAATCATCAAACGTAGAAGCATATTTTACCAGTTAAGAACAATCAATGTCGTATACAGAAAACAAAAATTGTACAAAATTGTTCCCTTCAGGCAATCAACCATTGACATATTAGTCGCCTTCAATACGATGCAATAAACGATGCTGGGGCTTTATACACCCGTTGATAGAAGAACAGCGAGTCTATTGTAAAGGAATACAATTGGGAACATAAAATTCTTGTATGAAAATATCGTTTCAAGATATGACAGCAAGTATATAGTTTGTAAGATAAAGAAAGACTATAAAATTGCTTGTGGTGCCAACAGTACTTTTGTCTTAACCAGTTCTGCTCAAGTCACGTCACGGTCATGTGTGTTCATTTTTTATTTTTTTTTAAATAAGCATCACCTTTGTACTGACTGTCAGGTGTCTGATAACGAATGTATCACTATGTTGGTAAGAATACATATATATGTGTACAGTTATAAGAAATAGCATCGTGTTTCTTACGACAAATGGTTGATAAAGTTTCTGTAAAACATAATTGTCTATCCCAGAAATTTTCTGGTGAGATAATTAATATAATAATACTAATTCGAGGTTCTTATATACCGCTTTATCACAACCTAGTTCCTAGGTCGTCTCAAAGCGGTTCACAAATTATTATCCGTGGTTATAGGGCCTTTGCAACCAGCCAATACCTTTCTCAACTCCCTGGGGAGCATACAGTCGTTGCTGCCATTTCGGCACTCACAGCAAGCATTCTACAATTCTAGCACTACCCAACCACGTTCTCATTTACAGCTGAGTAGACTGGAACAAGCTGAGTAAAGTATCTTGCTCAAATATACAACACAGTGCCGTGACGTGAGTCGAACTCGGAACCCTTCGGTCATAAGCCTGGCGTCCTACTACTAGACTACCCGCTTCCAATGTGGCATTTTATTTTAGAAATTTCGCTCCCGCTCTCTTGACCTGATTTCCACCTGATTGATTTGATCACCTTTTCTTTTATTAACTCATTTATCTTATTTATTTGTTGGGGTGTTTTTGCCTTTTTTTCTCTCTCTCCATTATTTTCTTATACTATACCATCAATGGGAAAGCAAAAAAAAAAAACATCTGTAAGTTAAAGACATATATATTTACTATATATAAACAGTATAGTTATTTATTTCTTACGGCAATTCAGAACTAGAACATTTGTTAAAGGGGCAAATCTCTATAGTTTTTATGAACATTTTTGCAATTGTGAAATTAAAATGAACACTTGAATGGCGAATGACGTAACATTAAGAAAAAGATGCAACGTAAGACTTTTATATCGTGACCTAGCAGATGTACGCTTAATTCACTTCAGACTTTTGCGAATAAAATCAAAGTGAGTGGAGGCTCAAATAAATATACCACCAACCTGCCGTGCCCGTGACTTTTGACCTTTTAACCTTTACCTATGACCACGTAAATCTTATCAGGCGTAGAATGTTATTATGCTAAGGTCTAAGTGTAAACTAGATTTGTTGAGGAATTTGTGAGACACCTTGTATACAATATTTCTACATCAAAAGTGGTAATGTGTGGTCTTTGACCGTGACCTTTGACGTTCTAACCTTGACCACTATAGTTTCAGGTGAAAAACTTGATATAACCAAACTATGTTTTGAATATGAACTGAAAGTGTCCAGGGGTTCTAGAGATATCTTGTAAACAACTCATCAACTCAAGGACGACGGATGCTCTGACAGGGCAATTATTATATACACCCTCATTTCGTGGAAGTATAACAAGATACACAGAGGGTCTGTATCGCTCACCTGGATAATAAAGCAACAATTTCCAAATATTGGCTCTGTCTTTCTGCAACACCAGTCCCTCGTAGGGTCCTGTCTTTCTGCTGCCATGAAGTGCATTTGATGGGTTTTGAGCATTTACCTATTGACCCCATCCCTCCATTAATGCTGAGGAGAAGGATTTTAAACATGTATCCCTATGTTCCCCCGTTTGGCCCATCCCTTTGCTATAAGGACCACGCTCTCCGTTTGTACAAAATTAAGTTCTTGCAAAATGATGCTCTGGGCCAAATTTGGTTACAATCCCTCAAATCGAACGGAAGGAGAAGGATATCAAATATTTACCTGCATTTCCCCTATTTTGAAGCCAAATTATCTGCCCTGAAAGAAAACACACCCTCCGATTTTACAAAATTGTATTCCCTTTGCCAAAGAATGCTCAAGACCAACGGACGGATGAAGGACGCCTTTTGATCAGGTGAGACAACCTCATTTAACAGTCAAAATATTACCTGTAATGGCAGCACCTGATGTCCAGCTATGAGCGTCAGATGATGGGGAGCAGTAGCCGGTATGTTCTGCATTCTGCTCACCAGGAGCCCTACACGAATTGTCGATCAGGCATGTGTTGTCCTGAAACAAACCATACAATCTGTGTATAGACAGCAGAATCAGAAACACCTAATTTCCCTGATGACTGTCTTACATATTACATGTCGTTTTAGTGATTTTTGTATGCGGAAGAATACCTTACTTGTCGCCTCATCATATTTTTCCCTCGATCCAGCAGGAAAGCAATTGATGGTTAAAGAATATATTTCCCACGGATATGTTACTATTTCAGTTACAGTACTCAATACGATAGTACGGCGACAAGATATGCCTGGTTCAACTCTCTCTGTACCTTTGCCTTAATAAAACATTATCATGGGCTGAATAATTCGTGCTGTATTTATTTGTTGTAATTTAAGACATTTTGTAGTCTAATCAAATAATATTTGTATTAATATTTACCTTCAATGTACAGTTTCCAGTGACGTCACACACTTGGCATGATCCGTCGAACACAACGAAAGGTTTGGGCGTACTGTACTGAAGTCTGTTAGCGGTCACTGCCACCATGAACCCTCCAACAGTACTATCTGAATAAAAAAAATCGCTTTTGTAATTCTGTTATCTTTTTGTAGATTAACAACTTTGACCAGCTACTGCCAGAGGTCATATCATTCCAACACAGTTGCAGATGAGATTCCAACAGCAGACGTCCTTTAAAAATCTGCGTACACCGGATGTTATAGGTCTCAAGTAAAAATTAAAAATTAAACAGATCACGAGTCCTTCGCAGTATACGGATATCATATACGGGTTTGTATTGCTACGATACGATATGAATAAATCTGAACACAAATACACCAATGTATGAGCTATTAATTGTTTATTTTTCGTTGTTAATTGTAATTCATTTTCCGTGTGGGTTGACTCTGGGTCACAACTGTATAGTAACTGATTCACGAAACATTTAGTGAGATATTTTCCCTTCCAGCAAAGGGATGCTCCTTTCTAAGTATATTGTCAAAAACTGCAGTACAGCCTACACAGTTGTTGTTTTTATATTCAAAGAATTTTGGCATTTTTTTTTCATATTTTACTGTCATAGGATTCAATAATACGTGAGCACAGTCTTAGTAGTCGACAACACGTGTTTGACGACATCTAGATGTAACGTACCGCCCATAGATATCAGTCTAATTAATATGCTAGTTCTGAGGGTGGTCTAAGGTGACGTAATGTATGACGTATATATGACGTCATATAATTTCTTTATGAGAAAGGCATTACCCATTCTGAAACGCCAATAACGATACGCAATTTTCAATTTACTTATGTTCAACACTACTGCAAATTGTTACAATATATAATTTTATAACTTGTACATATGTAGTTTTACCGAAAAGGGAGCAACAGTCCAACCTTACTTATAACTAAAACTCCCATCCAACCGTGGTGAAACAAACAGTTTATACTTTTTACGGATCGGTTTTAATCACAAAACAGAATTGAATTAAGCAGGCGTATCAAATCTGCGTTCATCAGAGACCCAAGGAATTAATTCTGTTATCTTGTACAGTAAATAGTCATGACATCGTCTACCGTCGCCTATTTTCTTCTCCATTACGAGTATGTTACAAACACATTAAAAATATCTCATATATATCATAAAACACTATGTTTTCGCACCCGACAATAACCGGCTCACGCAATATAGAGTATAATGACTTTGAGTTAAGGGACTTTTACAGCGTTCTATTAATGCAATTAATATTCACATAAATGATCCATATATGTAGTCATCAAGAACCCCTCTGTCAAAATCTAGATAACGAACAAAGTAACATATATGTACTGCCCCTTTATATGAGTCTATAGTAAATAGGCATACATTGTATTTGAGGACGGTATAAGGTGGTGTGATATGTGACGTCATAGGATTAATTTACGTGGGTGACTGTATACACTGTATTCAAGTTCAACATGATTGTAAATTGTTATCATGCATACATGTAACATATAAGTTCATCACATCCATGGCAAATAACACGTCTTCTATATTATCCTATTTTTCTTGATGCAAAAACGATTGTCAAACTATCTTAGGTATTCAATGCAATGCCGGATTTTGATACTTTTTGTTGAAAACAAAAGTGAAGAAAAGACTATACATATTATCAAATGTATAAGGATTTCAATAGGGGAGACTGGGGCAAGCTCAGTCCCGGTGTGAGTCCGATCACCCCTGATATTTCTGTTCTTGAGCAAATAGTTCAGTTGTCTAAGAGAGACATTCAAACGAAAAATTAGCGAGGAAAACTCAATTTTAAAATCATTTAAAGGGAGAAAGTTACTTTTAGGAGGATAGAAAAAATCATGGCTTCACTTCTTCCAAGTTTTGTGAACTTTCTGTAAATCGAATTGCTACTTATTTATGTCATACGTGTAACACATTCACAGGCTCACATGATGCCCCCTCCCCCTACCAAAGCACAACAGATTCCGTGTTCATATCGAACCGTTTGTGTTTAAATCTAGTACAAGATTAAAATAGTTTACACGATCATCTAGGTCTTCACTAGTCGGTCGATCAGGAATTCGAGGATGAAAACGAATTTTCTGTCATGTTTTTCGTTTCGGGCGATATGAGAGCGTCCACGCTGTTTTCCTACATACTATTATGGTATTATATATAGTATATATAGTATTTTTGATTAAAGAATCACTTTGTCTCACGCTTTAGTTATTCACTAAGACCAACTTAACAGTGGCAAAGACAATATAAACATAAGTTTGTTTATTTGGAAAAATACAGAAAGCCACATTATTGTGTTTTTTTCACATGACGTAATGCAATAGCCTATAAAACATTTCGAAACGGTAGTAAGTATTGTGCAGTCTCTGTTTTTGTTGCTAACGAAAAATGTATCTCCATCAAAAAGAGTTCCAGACGTAAATTAGTCTGCGTCTAAGTCTAAACCTACGTTTACGTTCAGAGTTACGGTGCTTCGTGAAACGGACTTAACGTAAACGCAAATAAAGTCGTAACTCGATTTACGTCCACGTTTACGTCTACGTTTACGTGTAATTTTACGACTTTTAGTGAAACTGTGTCCAGGTATTCTATGGCTATCCCAACAAAATAGCATTACTTCCCTAAACTGCTGTAAGAGACAAGTATATGTTTATTTTTCTATTGATACTCCGTCTTTCTGCATCATTATTATAGTATCCTATTATGGGGTACTTTTAAACAAGGCTCTCAATCAATATACCATCGTACTTCACGGTTCCAGTCATAAGATGGATACAGTGTTTTGGAGTATACTTTCCAACCTACAAAATGTATATGATTTCAATTAACTTCCTGTAGCAGATTTTATTTAAGTACATCTGCAACAAAGTACCTTCCGCTGACACTTCTATTTTTTCAAATAGTTCTTCCTCCCTCTTACAAAAAGATACGGAAGAAGGAAAACAACACCTACCTCGGGTGGCAACATCACTGGGTGGCAGAGAGCACTCCACTTCAAGGAAACTAATGAACTTTGCTGGTGCCTCAATGACGGATCCATATGGATGGAGACTGCCGTCACGAACCTTGTTTGATGATACACAGTATAATCAGAATATTATATCATGTTTCTCCTCCTAAGTCGTATGCCATTAACAACTATCGTGTCATTACTTCGATATTTTTGTTCGAATAACTACTGAAGAAATGAATTCTGAAAATTTGTGCTAGATTTATTCTGTGTCTATCATGGAAATCTGGTGATTGACACCATAAACCATCGACTACAGTAGCCACAGACAAATCTTGTGTTTTATTTTCCTAAAACACTCCAACACTGTATATCAATTGAGTTGTATTTTGTAAAATAAATCAAAACAATTTTTTTAAGAAAAATTGTCATGGATATTGCTAGTGGCATCCGTGACGTAGCAGGTCTGCGAAGTGATTATAGAGTCAAACACAACATTTGGAACAAAATGAAACAATACGATCTTGTAAATAAACAAGTATTTCTACATGTACCAAACGTATACTCTGTTGTGTGAAGACTCGATTTTATTCTCCTACTCTCGGAATACTTCAATATATTGACTGTATTGATACAGGAGAGAATTCGGCCATGTAGACGACCAGGTAGCGATTTGAAAATACCAAATATACACTAGGTAGGTACTTATACCATGGTCTGAGACAGTGAGGATGCGACATATTTGATAACGTAACTTGCTTTAATTGTCAATCTTCTGTGGAACAAACCAAATCCCTGATGACATCCCGGGGTTGTGCGTAACCTTATGACTGTGATTTATTCTATCAGGATTTACGTGTAGTTCTTGTTTAAGAATATATTTCTCCTACCTGTGCGAATGCATAATACACGTGTCACAAGTTGCTCACCCATATAAGACAACTCTGTCCCACATATATGAACTCAGTGACCCCGGACGGGGAACTATGTTTCTCTCTAAATATAGGGACTACATACAACAAACGCTTGCGTTCAACAACGTTACGTACCATAACTGTTGATGTGCTGAAACGTGACGTTATTAAATTGACATTTCGTTCAACGGAAAAATATTAACCACCAAAACACAGTCGGCATCTGGATTCGTCTCACGGAAGCAACTTTTAATGTGAAGTGTTTCCAAGCCTATACTTCCGATATAACATGTTTGTCTGCACTTTCCAATATGTTCTTGGTATATTTATACGATATCTAAGAAATCTTTATTTTAGTTGCATGTACAAAGTGATTGGCGATTTCCACCACATCCCCGGGTAAGGTAGGGAGAAAAGAGTCAATTACTATGGAAGGTATGTAGGATATGAAAATTCTATCCCCGATGTAGAATTTCACCATCCCACTTACTTACCTATGATAGTCTTTTAATCTACTGAAATCAAAAGTTGTGAACGTGTAACTCTAAAACAGTTCTTGTTTGCACTTTATGCTATATTCTACATGATTCAGAACAGTTTTGATATGAACTTTCATTCTTACGAGTATTGAACCACATATTAGTTCTAAAAGGATAATAAAGCCCTATGGTGCAGAAAATGTGTGCTTTGTTTGGCCCTATGCATCAACGAACTACTTATTTCGAACAATTGCTATACAATATAAATGACACAACTTGTTCTCCTTAAAAATGACACATCCTTGTCACTTCAGGAAATCTTGATGAAAGTTTATCTTTTTTGTCTCATCGAATCCTGTCTGTATTGGTACGTCCATTCTATCTATTCCACTCCAGGAAATCTTGATGAAATGTTAACTTTGTCTGTATAGGTACGTCTGTTCTATTCCAATAATTGATGACTAATTTTCTACAAAAATAACATTAGCAACCTAACCCAGTGATATTACCTCGGCGGCTTGGTAGCGACATTTAAGTCCTGGACCATCCATGAGATGCTGGGCAATCACCTGTACCTTCATACAAGGTCGATCTCTGAAGTCACACAGACCATCTCTACAAAAGTCAATAATTAATTAAATATAGATTTTGTCCAATAAAATGAAAATAATTAAATTATTTTTGATGTTTAAGTCTATGGCTATAAAATACCAATATATTCCACAAATGACTGAAACTTTTTAAGAATTTCATGGATCTCATTGAAGGAGGGCGATGAACCCTATGGACAGAAGGCCTTGTACTTTCATAAATTGTAAGCAGTAAATACAAATAAATCAGATGAAGGTCAAAATACGTACTCTTCCGTGAAATACGACGTATACTTAAACGAGGAAATCTTTTTTGAAGTTAAGAGCAGATTATTTTGTATTATAAAAATGCGTTTCTTATTTCGAATTATGACAAATATTGGTGACTTTGTGTGGTTATGCGGAAAAGGGGGTTATTAAGGCAATATTAAAAGATGATACTTAAAGATTTGATCGCTAGTTTCAGGCAAAATTGCTACAGACGCTCGATATATCCAGGTCATGAAACCAAAACAAGATCGATCTGTCACAGTGTCGGGAAATATTTCGTTCTCCCAACGTCCCGTTACCGCTATTTAGACGGTCTGACTATGGCTGAACTTTCACTATAAACGTCACCCATAGAACCGTCACGAAGAAACGTAGGCCTATGGTTTTGGATATTGAAAGCGATAAGTTCTTCTACAACGGTAAGTTACGGTGATTTCATCACTTGGCGGGAGGCAGACTTCGTACGATATGCTTACGCGCATATAGTCCGTGGTTAATTTATATAAACTAATGCAATACTGCTACTCTCAATATTTAAAGTCGTTCATCTGTTTTATTTTTTCATTAAGTTGTTGGGCGAAACATTAATTTTGACTATAATTAAATTAAAAAAAAAATCATTTTTGAATATTAATGAGTGACTTTTTACATATGGGTCATATCACTACGCCAGCCTTGTCAACAAACACATTTGTGTATGTTATTTTCGAATGATCATGAGATTGTGGTAGAAACAGATCACACGACTCGTGGTTGTTGAGTAAAGCTCGTGTCTTTTGTAACTTTTGAAAATTAACTAACTCGAGTGAAATAAATACCATATTCAACAACAACTCGTTGTGTAACCTCTATATGTTTATTTATTCGCAATAAAGTGCATATTGTTTTCAAGAATATGATGATATTAATTTTGTTATATATGACGTTGTATGTAAGTTGCAGACATGTAGTAAACTTTACACTGCTCAAATTTTCCGTATAAATTTTTCAAGTTCATTACTGCTTTTAATAAGATGAAGTCGAAAATTAATAAACATAATAATCATGGCGATCCGAAGCATTTGTTATGCCAAACATAATTTTCCATTTAACGGTTATAGAAATGGTTTTATCTAAAACAAGTATAGCAAAGCATTACGTGTTGGTCTGTTTTCTAAATAAATTATCTTTTAATCGTCAGTAGGGGTATCTCATCAAATAAACAAATTGTATAAGTAGCGTCCTCGTGATGCAGTTAACTGCTAGGCATAATACTCTGAAGTTATCAGCTTGAACAAGTAACGGAAGATTTTATTTTAAATACATTGATTGAGTATCATAACAATACATGCTTTCGCGTCAAATATATGTATTCATCTTTAATACCGTTGCTATCTCAGTAAAATGACCTTGGAACCGATCTAAATCCGAAATTGGACACGTGTTTCTACAGGCAGTTTGTTTGGTTCATTATGTATATTATTGTACATTATGTAACAAAATTAAACAGGGAAAAATATGTTTTTCTCAGTAGTCGAAGATTTAATGTATCAGTAGATAAAATGTGTAATGCAAAAAACGTGTTATTGTTTCTGTGCAATACATATCACAAAACAACTTAATCAGGCATCTAGAATCCGTTTTATAAGGGTCATGTCATATCAAATATATCGTTTTGTTAAACCAAATGGCACGTGAAATGGTAATGGTGGGTGGTTGGTAGTACTAGAAATGAAACAGTAAAATCATCTGTCCATACAGACTTCTCTTGAGAGAAAATCAGTCTGAAAATAATCAGTTCATGGTATTATTCTGTATATGGTAGTAAAAGGAGGAAGTTTTTAATGGTAGATTTACTGTATGCTAAAGTAAAGATTAAGGTTTTTAGTTAATTCAATTACCCGCGAAGATGGCTGACGACAGGGGCTACCCCTTCCGGGACTGAACAATCAGCACCAGTGTATCCGGTTTGGCACGTGCATGTCCCCTCGTGACATGTTCCACGTCTGCTACATTGATTTGAACACATATGAGTTGTGACGTCAGTAGGTGGAATCCTCTCTTTGTTGAGTCCAATGGCGTAGTTGCTTACATCGCGAAGTACAGCGTCTTGACATTCAATATCGAAAGAGTTCATGTGGACAAGGTTGAATTCGTCTCCATCAGCAAACTGCGGTTATAAAGGAATAAGGTTAAAAAAACGGTTCAAACGAAAGCTGTAGTTCGGAATGGAGGCATTTCTCACAGAAAATAGCCCTTATTGGTGTATTATAAATTTGATGCTGTGCATAAATATGTAAAATTACTAACCATCATGTCCTCCACGCAAGCGTCTATATAATGTTGTGAAATCTCTGACGCGAGTACGGTGCGACATCGGTTGTACAATGAGGAACTGTGGATCGCTGTGGTACAGGTAGTCGTAGCCATGGCCTCCGTTATCCCGCTAGGTGTCGGGAAGGATCTTCTACTCCGAATATGAACTACACAGAGAATTAACATAGGTAGCGGCATCTCATTAAACAATATAGACAGACATAAAATATAGAAATAAATATTTAGTTGACAAAATATCATTTCGAATCATCTATTATGACACAAATACAGTTTCTGATCATCAACAATGAATTAACACATAACAAGGATAGACCACAAACCGTGCCACATGACAAAGATAAACAACCAACCGTGCCACATGACAAGGATAAACAGTCAACCGCGAAACATGACAAGGATAAACAACCAAGAGTGACACATGACGAAGATAAACAACGAACCGCGACACATGACAAGGATAAACAGTCAACCGTTACACATGACGAAGATAACCAACCAACCGTGCCACATGACAAGGATAAACAGTCAACCGCGACACATGGCAGGGATAAACAACCAAGAGTGACACATGACAAGGATAAACAACCAATCGCGACATATAACACGGATAAACAACCAACCGTGACACATGATTAGGATAAATAACCAACCGTGACACATGACAAGGATAAACAACCAACCGCGACACATAACAAGGATAAACAGCCAACCGTGACACATAACAAGGATAACAACCAACCGTGACACATGACAAGGATAAACAACCAACCGCGACATATAACAAGGATAAACAACCAACCGTGACACATGATTAGGGTAAACAACCAACCGTAACACATGACAAGGATAAACAACCAACCGTGACACATGACAAGGATAAACAACCAACCGTGACACATGACAGGGATAAACAACCAACCGTGACACATGACAAGGATAGACCACCAACCGTGACACATAAGAAGGATAAACACCAACCGTGACACATAATAAGGATAAACAACCAACCATGACACATAACAAGGATAAACAACCAACCGTGACACATAACAAGGATAAACAACCAACCGCGACACATAACAAGGATAAACAACCAACCGTGACACATGACAACGATTGAACACCAACCGTGACACATAACAAGGATAAACAACCAACCGTGACACATGACAAGGATAAACAACCGACCGTGACACATGACAGGGATAAACAGCCAACCGTGACCCATAACAAGGATAAACAACCAACCGCGACACATAACAAGAATAACAACCAACCGTGACACATGACAAGGATTGACCACCAACCGTGACACATAACAAGGATAAACAACCAACCGTGACACATGACAAGGATAAACAACAAACCGTGACACATGACAGGGAAAAAAAACAACCATGACACAAAACAATTACAGACCACCAACCATGACACATAACAAATACAGATCACTAACCATGACAAATAACAAAGACAGATCACTAACCATGACACATAACAAAGACAGATCACTAACCATGACACATAACAAAGATAGATCACTGACCATGACACATAACAAAGACAGATCACTAACTATGACAGAAAACAAAGACAGATCACTGACCATGACACAAAACAGATCACTAACCATGACACAAAACAAAGACAGATCACTTACCATGACACATAACAAAGACAGATCACTGACCATGACACAAAACAAAGACAGATCACTGACCATGACACATAACAAAGACAGATCACTAACTATGACAGAAAACAAAGACAGATCACTGACCATGACACAAAACAGATCACTAACCATGACACAAAACAAAGACAGATCACTTACCATGACACATAACAAAGACAGATCACTGACCATGACACAAAACAAAGACAGATCACTGACCATGACACATAACAAAGACAGATCACTAACTATGACAGAAAACAAAGACAGATCACTGACCATGACACAAAACAGATCACTAACCATGACACAAAACAAAGACAGATCACTTACCATGACACATAACAAAGACAGATCACTGACCATGACACAAAACAAAGACAGATCACTGACCATGACACATAACAAAGACAGATCACTAACTATGACAGAAAACAAAGACAGATCACTGACCATGACACAAAACAGATCACTAACCATGACACAAAACAAAGACAGATCACTTACCATGACACATAACAAAGACAGATCACTGACCATGACACAAAACAAAGACAGATCACTGACCATGACACATAACAAAGACAGATCACTAACCATGACACAAAACAAAGACAGATCACTAACCATGACACAAAACAAAGACAGATCACTAACCATGACAAATAACAAAGACAGATCACTAACCATGACACATAACAAAGATAGATCACTAACCATGACACAAAACAAAGACAGATCACTTACCATGACACATAACAAAGACAGATCACTAACCATGACACAAAACAAAGACAGATAACTAACCATGACACGTTTATTTCTATCTATATATGTTGTTTAAGAAAATCCACAACCGACCAGTTTAAGTACATAAAAACGTAACACGTTTTGATTGTGCATGTTATAGATATTGAAAGCACTGTTTAGAATTGGAGAACCGTGAGGTGTACCACATAATGGCTCGTATTTGCTATTGCGTCAGCAAGTTGACTGGAACAGGGACTATTTGAATAATTGCATTATGGATTTCTTACTTGTGTTGAAATCTCGTTTGACCGGAGCTTCAAATGGGAAATCCAGATCACGAGGATGGGTACCGCCTTGGGGTTGGAATGGGGTACATTTACCATTGCAGTTCTGAAAGAATAGTTTAAAAAATAATTGCACTTAATACTATGGTCAAATAGTTTTTCGCATAAGGATATTATGAAAAACAGATATGAAACAATTGTTTTATTCTTAATATCATCATTCTTCTTCTTCTTCTTTCAGTAAGAACGTTTACTGTCTCTGCATATTGTGCACGCACGTGCGGTTAAGATAACTCTAGTTTTGGTACTCTATCTTAAAATCAAAATGTTGAAAGGGGGTGTAGTGTCGTGTCTCACGACATGACTGTGAGAATTTGGTGTAAAACAGTGCAGTGCATCAGAGTCAAACAATTTTCGCACAAAGACATGTTAAACTTCGTCCCCTGGGCGAGATATTTTATACAACAAGTAACAGTACACTCATGTACATAAGGGTATTTGTCTGATCAACAGATGTACAGTATGTTCCTGTACATTAAAGTAGTTGTTCTACAACAGGTGTACAGTATGTTCATGTACATTAGAGTAGGTGTTCTACAACAGGCGTACAGTATGTTCCTGTAAATTAGAGTAGTTGTTCTACAACAGGCGTACAATATGTTCCTGTACATTAAAGTAGTTGTTCTACAATAGGTGTACAGTATGTTCCTGTACATTAGGGTAGTTGTTCTACAACAGGTGTACAGTATGTCCCTGTACATTAGAGTAGTTGTTCTACAACAGATGTACAGTATGTTCCTGTATATTAGAGTAGTTGTTCTACAATAGGTGTACAGTATGTTCCTGTACATTAGATTAGTTGTTCTACAACAGGTGTACAGTATGTTCCTGTATATCAGAGTAGTTGTTGTTCAACAGGTGTACAGTATGTTCCTGTATTGTTCAGTAGTTGTTCTACAACAGGTGCAACAGGTGTACAGTATGTTCCTGTATATCAGAGTAGTTATTCTACAACAGGTGTACAGTATGTTCCTGTATATCAGAGTAGTTGTTCTACAACAGGTGTACAGTATGTTCCTGTATATTAGATTAGTTGTTCTACAACAGGTGTACAGTATGTTCCTGTACATTAGATTAGTTGTTCTACAACAGGTGTACAATATGTTCCTGTACATTAAAGTAGTTGTTCTACAACAGGAGTACAGTATGTTCATGTACATTAGAGTAGTTGTTCTACAACAGGTGTACAGTATGATCCTGTACATTAGAGTAGTTGTTCTACAACAGGCGTACAGTATGTTCCTGTACATCAGAGTAGTTGTTCTACAACAGGCGTACAGTATGTTCCTGTACATCAGAGTAGTTGTTCTACAACAGGCGTACAGTATGTTCCTGTACATCAGAGTAGTTGTTCTACAACAGGCGTACAGTATGTTCCTGTACATCAGAGTAGTTGTTCTACAACAGGCGTACAGTATGTTCCTGTACATTAGAGTAGTTCTTCTACAACAGGTGTACAGTATGTTCCTGTACATTAGGGTAGTTGTTCTACAACAGGTGTACAGTATGTACATGTACAACAGGTGTACAGTATGTTCCTGTATATCAGAGTAGTTGTTCTACAACAGGGGTACAGTATGTTCCTGTATATCAGAGTAGTTGTTCTACAACAGGGGTACAGTATGTTCCTGTATATCAGAGTAGTTGTTCTACAACAGGTGTACAGTATGATCCTGTACATTAGAGTAGTTGTTCTACAACAGGCGTCCAGTATGTTCCTGTACATTAGAGTAGTTGTTCTACAACAGGAGTACAGTATGTTCCTGTATATTAGAGTAGTTGTTGTTCAACAGGTGTACAGTATGTTCCTGTACATTAAAGAAGTTGTTCTACAACAGGTGTACAGTATGTTCATCTACATTAGAGTAGTTGTTCTACAACAGGTGTGCAGTATGTACATGTAAATTAAAGTAGTTGTTCTACAATAGGTGTACAATATGGTCATGTACATTAAAGTAGTTGTTCTACAACAGGTGTACAATTGTACATGTACATTAGAGTAGTTGTTCTACAACAGGTGTGCAGTATCTTCATGTACTTTAGAGTAGTTGTTCTACAACAGGTGTACAGTATGATCCTGTACATTAGAGTAGTTGTTCTACAACAGGTGTACAGTATGTACATGTACAACAGGTGTACAGTATGTTCCTGTATATCAGAGTAGTTGTTCTACAACAGGTGTACAGTATGTACATGTACAACAGGTGTACAGTATGTTCCTGTATATCAGAGTAGTTGTTCTACAACAGGTGTACAGTATTTTCCTGTATATTAGATTAGTTGTTCTACAACAGGTGTACAATATGTTACTGTACATTAAAGTAGTTGTTCTACAACAGGTGTACAATTGTACATGTACATTAGAGTAGTTGTTCTACAACAGATGTACAGTATGTTCCTGTATATTAGAGTAGTTGTTGTTCAACAGGTGTACAGTATGTTCCTGTACATTAGGGTAGTTGTTCTACAACAGGTGTACAGTATGTTCCTGTTCATTAGCGCAGTTGTTCTACAACAGGTGTACAGTATGTTCCTGTTCATTAGCGCAGTTGTTCTACAACAGGTGTACAGTATGTTCCTGTATATCAGAGTAGTTATTCTACAACAGGTGTACAGTATGTTCCTGTACATTAGATTAGTTGTTCTACAACAGGTGTACAATATGTTCCTGTACATTAAAGTAGTTGTTCTACAACAGGAGTACAGAATGTTACTGTATATTAGAGTAGTTGTTCTACAACAGGTGTACAGTATGGTCATGTACATTAGAGTAGTTGTTCTACAACAGGTGTGCAGTATGTTCCTGTACATTAGAGTAGTTGTTCTACAACAGGAGTACAGTATGTTCCTGTATATTAGAGTAGTTGTTCTACAATAGGTGTACAATATGTTCATGTACATTAAAGTAGTTGTTCTACAACAGGTGTACAGTTTGTTCCTGTACATTAAAGTAGTTGTTCTACAACAGGAGGAAAGGATGTTCATGTACATTAGAGTAGTTGTTCTACAACAGATGTACAGTATGTTCCTGTATATTAGAGTAGTTGTTCTACAACAGGTGTACATTATGTTCCTGTACATTAAAGTAGTTGTTCTACAACAGGAGTCCAGTATGTTCATGTACATTAGAGTAGTTGTTCTACAACAGATGTACAGTATGTTCCTGTATATTAGAGAAGTTGTTGTTCAACAGGTGTACAGTATGTTCCTGTACATTGGATTAGTTGTTCTACAACAGGTGTACAGTATGTACATGTACATTAGAGTAGTTGTTCTACAACAGATGAACAGTATGTTCCTGTACATTAGAGTAGTTGTTCTACCACAGGCGTACAATATGTTCCTGTACATTAGAGTAGTTGTTTCACAACAGTTGTACAATATGTTCTTGTACATTAGAGTAGTTGTTCTACAACAGGTTTACAATCCGAACATTAGGATAGTTGTTCTCACATCAAATATAAAGTATTTACCTGTACATTAGGTATTTTCGTTAGACATGATGTTAATATAGCTAATAGATTATATACCTTTGCACCCGGGTTATTGCCCTTAGACTTTGTACAGTCGGCCTTGGCGTGGTCACATTTACAGAGGCTTTCTGGACGGTCATAGCGTGTGTTAAACAACGGCAGGGCATCAAACATGCTGGTTCCTGGCTTCAAACTGGAAAATGTTACACGTGGCATCCGTTTTCATGTGGCATGTTAAATCTTACTAAAAAATATTACCTAAATCATTATGAAGTTTTGTAAGTCTAATAATTCTTGATAAACAGTTCAAGATTTATTAATCTAGGTTACAAAATATACATTTAACATTTTCAATTATTTACATGTTTGTTCATGTATGAAATGGAAGTCTAATTACATCCCACTTCATTTCTATCTTCAATATATCCTAATTTTGTTTATGATTAATTCTTGCTTCATATCGATCAACCAGTTGACTTCAATTTTAAGTAATCTTTTCGAAACTACAAAGGTAGCTGTGAACCATTGTTTTAGGTTACATTTTGCACTTTACTTTCGTTGAGTTTCGTAACGCGTTGGCTACAACAAGGAGTAAGAGGATTTTTGTCACATTTGACGTGACGTTGCTAGTACACCATCGTTACAAAATATAAGTTAAGTAATGCCGAGACTGTCGAAGACAACAACGAGAGGTAGCTATTGTAGTGGTGTAAGTTATTAAGATGGTTAGTGAACACGCCAAGCTTGCTATTTGATATCTATTTTTCGCCTGTGGCACCATTTAACCAAACTAGCTCGACTTATGACAGGCGAAGGACTGACATACCAGGTGTTACCACCATCATAAACTACTTAGAGACAGGTTTCTATCGACACGGTCTCCGAAAGTAGTGACCACATTATACACATGAAAATCCAGTTGTTTGCGCGCGCGACGGGTCTAAACTAGTTCTATTGTGACACGACGTCATCGCAATAATCGCCTGAATCGGGCTCAGGTAAACCACCGATGTCTTTTGGACAAATGGAATCACGTTATTTACTACGGTGACCGACCCATTGTGATTGGAGACAGGGTGTGTCAACCTATGTTTGGCGGTCAACTGCGTCTACGAAAGCGACTATTTTGGTGAAGATACCGTGAAGGTTTTGGGTGTTTTTTGTGTTGGTAATCGCACAAGGTAAGCTGTTGCTAATTGAAATTTGACTGGAACTCGTTATCGAGATAAATAAGATATCTGCAGCGCTACCGCAACCCTGCACACCAGTTACGTCAGCAGGACATTTCCGAGGCAAAACAATGACCAAATGTAATATTTGTCTACTAAATCTCCAGATCTATCACCCATATACATTTTGGATGAACTTAGGAAACGCGTTCGACGTAGCAAAAAATCAACTGGGTAAATAGTTAGATGTCGTTCACGTGATAAACAACATTCCCGCGACCGATATTGGACGTCAACATAAGGTCTATATGTGGCGGCGCATCACATTGGTGATACAGGACAATTGAGGATACATCTCCTATAAGGTTTGTAATTGTTTACTGTGTACTCAACCTATTATTAACGGCAGTCAATCAGGTGTGAAAGATTATTTTAATCTCAAATATGTTAACAGATACTACCCTACTCTGTAATGAGGTATACTTTTATCTAGAATACGCAAGATTGGACAACCGTTGTTAATATTATTTTGATGTTGAATAGGGTCCCTAATTTTTCAGTCTCTATCCAGAAAGTCACAGCATCTGCCACGAGACTTAATTCTTCATAAGTAAAATATTAATATGAAAATATGAAACCCGCTCCAAGAACAGGTGATCTCACAGCCAGGAGTGATAGAAGTCTCTGATGTGATGTGAGTCGTAGATTTTATGATCCGCTCCTTCCAGATCATTGGTATCCCGACCATCAAATGTTCCACAAAGACCTTCGGCTTTTTCAATGTCATCTGTGGGGGACTGGAGTGACAAACTCATGTGACCGTCTATTTCGCCTGTGTGGTGGTAATCTGTGGTATGCGCGCCAACCGTTAGACGTGTGCCAGATGCAAAGTTTAACTACAGTAGGAAATAAAACGCATGTTAATGGGCATACTTGATAACAACTTGATACATAAAGGATATTATATCAGTGTTCAACGGAAATTGAATATATTAAACCAGTTCAATAATTTGATATGACATGAGCCTTTAGGCGAGTGTGACATTTTTGATAAATTCAGTATGACATGGACACGCATGTAAGATTCTTTTTATCACAAGACATTCATAATTTGGAAAAAAAACAAAGTTCAAACACAATAATGCGTTATCATCTGACTCTGTATAGGGAAAGGATTTTTAAAAAGTTTGTCGGCTTGATCAGTTTAAAATGAACCAGTCATATTAAGTGTAAATTGACACAACAAACCTCGTGACCATTATTTTTTCGTTCCAAGAGCGGATTTACCAAGATCTGGTTTTATAAACTCTGATTAACACCATTTAATACGTACGAAGAAATTTTTGCCAGACGTATCCCTGTCGATAGTCATACTATGTAAAGGTCCATTTGATAGGATTTTGACGTCTGGGGCAGCAAGTTGGTTCTTTCGTTTCTCGCACATATCTATGCTTACTACGTCATTTCCTTCCCTCGCCACGATTGCGCAGATGCAAGGATTGTAATGTCCACATGACCAAGTTCTTATTTGAATCTGTAATACAAGATATAATATGACTCAGGCATGGCCTGGAGAGAGCGAACTCGTACATTTGTTTCAATAGTATAGTATAATTTTTGAATCATAACATTACCCTTTTTAATACATACAAAATGTACCTATAATTGATTTTTATAATATGACTCAGGCATGACATGGAGAGAGTGAAGCTCGTACAGTTGTTTCGATAGTATTGTATAATTTTTGAATTATAACATTACCCATTTTAATACGTACAAAATGTACCTGTATTTTTTCTATAATATACTTGAATCTGTTGCTGGGCAAAATCATTCATTTTGAAAACAGGCATTGTCTGAAACGAGCATGCGTCTAAATGCTGTTTTTTCAATCTTATTTTCTAAATAACATTATTTAAAATAATATCTATTTATTCGTTTTATAGCGATAAAGTAATTAATGTAAAATTAATAATAAGTAAAGAAAAACAGTCGAATGAATTATGCAGTTCAAGAGAAAACACAAATGCATTTGGTACTGTTGCATTTAATTGCCCCGTCTATGGCCTCAGCGTAATGTTGCGGAAAGTAGTGAGGCCCAGTAGAGAGACTTCATATTTGAAGATGTATATAACTGTTATTATCTGTTATTATAAAAGATAAGTATATCGGTGATTAAATTCCAATTTCCGGCGTGATATACTTTGTCTGATTCCTCTAAATCGTGTAAAAAGATAATCACAATAGCCCAAACATATCCGGATTTCCGTCTGATTTGGTAGTTACTATATACTTCCGGTTTTGGTGGAGAGAAGAAAAGACTGAAAATTTGAAAGAAGCTGCAGTTTCTATAATTTTTAATGTCATGAATTTATATAACCACAGAAAAAAAATATCAAATAAAAAGATATTTTTGAGAATGTGTAGCAAAGCTAAACAGCATCGTAAAAATAGGACCGCGGTAACTCTATACTAGCTACTTCCGTGACGAAGGATTTTGGAAGCATAGTATTTCGACGTTACCATGACTTCAATTGTTCGTACATGTAACCAGAAAAGAGCTTCGCTTCTTCGGCGCAAGAAGAGCTGCGCTCTTATTAACCTATTTATATCACTATTTTATTAACAATGTGTGAAAAAAAATGAAAATATGTTTTAAGAGTATGGAACTTGGCAAAGCCAAGACATACAAGTATATGAATGACATATAGTCGGCTATAAAAATAATGAAGCATTAACTCCTTTGCATCGTGTTTAAGTTGCATATAGTTATTAATATATTCGTTAAATACGTTTTGATGAGCTGTACTATGTATATCTATAACAGACACGATTTAAACATAAATCCGTACCTCAAAATACGTACCTCAAACGGCCTTGTTGTACTTTTGTACATTATGAAATCACCGACTTCATACACATCTAGTCGACTGAAATATAATTGTATATATATATATTTTGGGGGGGAAACTGTTTATCTAGCATCGTGTCATTGCAAGCCACGTTGACTTTATGCAAACCTGTTATGATGTTTTCTGTACAATATCAATGTTTTCTAATATGTTTTGAGTCAAATGATAATCAGAATTTGACTCGGGCAAAAAAGTTTTACTGGAAAAAAAAAAAAAAAAGCATCTTGATGTCGCTGAACGTTATTTTCTGGGGGGGTTTTATGGTAAACGTTGAAGATCTTCGCTTATTTCCTTACGATTCCTCACATTTCACCTAATAAACTTCTTGTCAGGTAACTTTTAGAAGAACTAATCACGGCGGTAGCACTGCTGAATGGTTTATCCATACGTCTGATCATGACGTCATGTAAGCAATCAACCAATGCCAAGTTACAACGTAAATGTAGGTTTTACCCTTTACGGTCTATCTGTCGGAAGTGCGGGTCACCGGAAGCAGAACAGAGAGCGTGCGGCCTGTCACGTGATGTAACCTGTCAAAGTTACGGTTTACAAGTAAAAATCCCTGAAGCATAATAATTGTCTGCAGACAAAGGTAAGTATATAATTATATTTGTACAACAAAGATCACATGACATCTTTGCTTGGTTACAATTTACACATATACACATAAACAAAAATCAACCTATCATTCAAAGTGATTTTTTTTCTGTCTCCAAAGATAATAATTCTGTATTTGAGACCTAGTGTATCATAAAACCTTACACCACGAAAGGGAGTGGGTACATGTTAACAACAAAATCGTTATAGTGCTGGCATTTCCGCTCCTTGCACACCTTCCCAATATTTAATAAATCGCTTATTTTGAAGTCGTTAACCCCGGTAGGGTGATCATCAAGGAGAAGTTGACGTTGTTTTCATAAGTACAGGTATTTTACACATCATATTTAAATTAATAACCAGACATTAAAATTTAAACATATAATAAATACCGCTAAGATGTAAAATTAAAGTTTTGAAATGGTCGGAAGGGTGTTGCAGGTCGATAAACTTTTGTACATGATTAAGAAGAATTTGACGGGAATGCTTAGCCAATGAAATGTACGTATTGTATCACGTTCTGACGTTACCGATTCTAACTTGTCTATTATTTTCTATCAAAATTGTTGGTATAATTTTGAAACAAATTATAATACATGACATATACAAGACATACAAACAGAGTATCGGCATATTTCTATCTGACATTGAACCTGTTATAATGTTACAGATGTTTTAAGCCGCTGTGTACCTGTATGGGATGGATATTATAACCGTTGAACATTGGACTTTGCCACGTCAGAAGAGGACGGAATGCAAGCTCGTGAACCTGGTCACCGTCCTTGACGAAGTCACGTGTGGCCGTGACCTTGATTGTGGCCTTGTAGGTGTGACTGACGTTGTCGTATTTTAAGTCATATGTACACGATGACGTGGATATATCTGCTCAGAAAATATAATAAAATACTGCATTATCATTTAAGTCATATAATGATGAATTACTGCTACTTACTGATACCTACAGACTCAATTTAGCTTATATCGTTAATACGATAGCAGATGTGTGACACAATAGATGCATTGCAAGCGTGATGTCCCTTAAGCCTAAATATCCGCACTGACATATTAACACATTCAAAAGCTTACGGACATATTGGAAAGAAAAAAAAATGAAAAGAAGTTTTGTTCCGGAATTTTAACGTCTAGTATCAAGATATCCAGATAATGGGAGTTTAGGTTATTGCACTCGGAACTTCTCGGCCGATTCGCTCACGTTGGGAGGAACTGAAATCGGGGCGAGGTGTTCTGAATGAGGTTATCTGGGAGACATAAATTCATACCGAATGGATCTTTAGATGACATCATTTCTACAGAGACGGAACAGGCTTGTTTATGTGGGTCGTTACAGGGAATAGGCACGGTTGACTCCAACGTCACTTCCTGTTCGGCACCTTTCTCGTCGACTATGATGGCATTGGTGGAGGCCTAAACAAACGACAGCAAGGAAATAATGTCCTACTTATACGGTTATTTCGTGTAGAAAACAGTCACGTTATAAAGTCCAATTTCTATACACACACGGTAAGGAACAAAACAAATCAACAACATTTAATCGGATATTGATTTAGAGTTATTTATAAAATTAATTTCAAACTCGCTGTCATTTTGACTGTTTTAAAAAGATCTTCCTCGAATTTGATATGAATTATTTTAATTTGCTTTGCCTTCTCGTCATTTTTTCCTAATAATACCTACAGTTAGACCATTATTGATTCATGATATGTATTTTGGTGTCTTAGTTTATGAGTAGATCCAACTGTGAAATTATATATTTGGGGAAAAGTTTTGTCAGAATGTATCCTCAGTGATACACAGTAGGATTTGATAAGAAACTTGTGCTTACCCTGATTCCTGCCCAGAATCCGTTGCTGCTGAGTGTATCACTTTTAATTCCCGGTGATGTCGCGTGATACGATGTTACGTTACACTTAAGCTACAAAAAAAATGTCCGTTTTAAATATTCTTAATATAATATATCCAACATAACGTTGTTATAGTTAGGCCATTCAGATCAGTTCCAACCTCTATAAAACACAAAAATACATCGCTACAACCTATATAAAACACAATAATACATCGCTCCAACCTATATAAAACACAATAATACATCGCTACAACCTATATAAAACAATAATACAGCGCTACAACCTATATAAAACACAATAATACTTCGCTACGACCTTTATAAAACACAATAATACTTCGCTACAACCTATAGAAAACACAATAATACATCGCTACATCCTATATAAAACACAATAATACATCGCTACAACCTATATAAATCAAAAAAATACATCGCTACAACCTATATAAAGCAAAAAAATGCATCGCTACAACCAATATAAAACACAATAATACATTGCTACGACCTACATAAAACACAATAATACATCGCTACAAACTATATAAAACACAATAATACATCGCTACGACCTATATAAAACACAATAATAAATCGCTACGACCTATATAAAACACAATAATACTTCGCTACAACCTATATAAAACACAATAATACCTCTCTACAACCTATATAAAACACAATAATACATCGTTACAACCTATATAAAACACAATAATCCATCGCTACAACCTATATAAAACACAATACACTGTAATACATCGCTACAACCTATATAAAACACAACTAAATATCGCTACAACCTATATAAAACAAAACAAAACATTGTTACCCTATATGATTATAAAACACAATACTACATTGTTTCACTATATAATTATATAACACAATGATACATTGTTACCCTATATAATTACATAAGACAATGATACATTGTTGCACTATATAATTATATAACACAGTTATATATTGTTACACTATATAATTATACAACACAATGATACATTGTTACCCTATATAATTACATAAGACAATGATACATTGTTGCACTATATAATTATATAACACAGTTATATATTGTTACACTATATAATTATACAACACAATGATACATTGTTACCCTATATAATTATATAAAACAATAATACATTGTTTCACTATATAATTATATAACACAACGCTACAACCTATATAAAACACAATAATACATCGTTACAACCTATATAAAACACAATAATACATCGTTACAACCTATATAAAACACAATAATCCATCGCTACAACCTATATAAAACACAATACACTCTAATACATCGCTACAACCTCTATATAAAACAATAATACGTCGCTACAACCTATATAAAACACAATAATACAGCGCTACAACCTATATAAAACACAATAATACATTGCTACAACCTATATAAAGCAAAAAAATACATCGCTACAACCTATATAAAGCAAAAAAATACATCGCTCCAACCTATATAAAGCAAAAAAGTACATCGCTACAACCTATATAAAACAAAATAATACATCGCTACAACCTATATAAAGCAAAAAAATACATCGCTCCAACCTATATAAAGCAAAAAAGTACATCGCTACAACCTATATAAAACAAAATACACTCTAATACATCGCTACAACCTCTATATAAAACAATAATACGTCGCTCCAACCTATATAAAACACAATAATACCTCGTTACAACCTATATAAAACACAATAATACATCGATCCAACCTATATAAAACACAATAATACATCGCTTCAACCTATATAAAGCAAAATAATCATGGCTACAACCTATATAAAACAAAAAAGTACATCGCTACAACCCATATAAAACATAATAATACATCGCTACGACCTATATAAAACACAATAATAAATCGCTACGACCTATATAAAACACAATAATACAGCGCTACAACCTATATAAAACACAATAATACTTCGCTACGACCTTTATAAAACACAATAATACATCGCTACAACCTATATAAAGCAAAAAAATACATCGCTCCAACCTATATAAAGCAAAAAAGTACATCGCTACAACCTGTATAAAACAAAATAATACATCGCTACGACCTTTATAAAACACAATAATACTTCGCTACAACCTATAGAAAACACAATAATACATCGCTACAACCTATATAAATCAAAAAAATACATCGCTACAACCTATATAAAGCAAAAAAATGCATCGCTACAACCAATATAAAACACAATAATACATTGCTACGACCTACATAAAACACAATAATACATCGCTACAAACTATATAAAACACAATAATACATCGCTACGACCTATATAAAACACAATAATACTTCGCTACAACCTATAGAAAACACAATAATACATCGCTACAACCTATATAAATCAAAAAAATACATCGCTACAACCTATATAAAACACAATAATTCATCGCTACAACCTTTATAAAACAAAAGAAAACATCGCTACAACCTTTATAAAACCCAATAATACATCGCTACAACCTATATAAAACAATAATACAGCGCTACAACCTATATAAAACACAATAATACTTCGCTACGACCTTTATAAAACACAATAATACTTCGCTACAACCTATAGAAAACACAATAATACATCGCTACATCCTATATAAAACACAATAATACATCGCTACAAACTATATAAAACACAATAATACATCGCTACGACCTACATAAAACACAATAATACATCGCTACAAACTATATAAAACACAATAATACATCGCTACAACCTATATAAAACAAAATACACTCTAATACATCGCTACAACCTCTATATAAAACAATAATACGTCGCTCCAACCTATATAAAACACAATAATACCTCGTTACAACCTATATAAAACACAATAATACATCGATCCAACCTATATAAAACACAATAATACATCGCTACCACCTATATAAAACACAATTAAATATCGCTACAACCTATATAAAACAAAACAAAACATTGTTACCCTATATGATTATAAAACACAATACTATATTGTTTCACTATATAATTATATAACACAATGATACATTGTTACACTATATCATTATATAACACAATGATACATTGTTACCCTATATAATTATATAACACAATGATACATTGTTACCCTATATAATTATATAACACAGTGATAAATTGTTACACTATATACTTATATAACACAATGATACAATGTTACCCTATATAATTATATAACACAATGATACATTGTTACCCTATATAATTATATAACACAATGATACATTGTTACACTATATAATTATATAACACAGTTATATATTGTTACACTATATAATTATACAACACAATGATACATTGTTACCCTATATAATTATATAAAACAATAATACATTGTTTCACTATATAATTATATAACACAATGATACATTGTTACACTGTATAATTATATAACACAGTGATAAATTGTAACACTATTTAATTACATAACACAATAATACATTGGTACACCATATGTAAAACACAATAATACATTATAACACTTTATATATAAAAAAAAATCATTTTAAAAAGACTAGAAATAACGATTGATGAAGATACTTTGAATCAATGTGTTATTAGAGCAGTAGGTAAGAAAATAAAGGCACATATCAGCATATTAATTATATAAAAGGTGGCACTTTATATCGCGAATGTGTCGTGATGTGATTCTATCTTTATAACTTCGATTATAACTGGCCTACGTTGGCTCTGGGGTGTGATCAAGGAATAAGATATGTATTTACTATACTAAATTCTATTTTAGAATAAAGAAAAAAACAAAAACACTTATAAGATCATGAAACTGCGTCGGTCCTGTTCAGAGTAATAGTAATCTCGCTCTGCACTGAACGCTGTGTAATGCTTAAATGTCTTACTGTTTTTCCCATGTGACCCTCCATATGTATGCTGTCAAGTAACGCATCTCTGTTGTCTCCGGTCAGTGTGGTCACCACTGGTGCGTTCGTGTTAGGATCCGTGATCATTTGTCCGTCCACCGTCCACGTGACATCAAATGCGACATCAGGTTCGCCCTTGGGGAAGGGGATGTGGCAGGGAAACTGTACGTGGTTGTTAGGGTCGATGTAAGGCTGGCCCAGGGTAGGGAAATGCGTCATCTTGGGATAGAGGTCTTCACGAATGTAAAAGAAAACAGAAAACACCATCAAAGACCAGCATTTTATAAATTCAGTGAACTGATAAGTCCTTCCACCTCCATAATCGCAGAAAAAAACAGTTTTTGTTCTGTATACAAGTTTATACAAAAACCTACAGTGTTGTGATTGAAATACCAATCCTTCCCGTTCAACTTGAAGATACATTGAGATTTGTTTATACAATTAACAAGACAAATACATTATGTACTTTCATAGTCTAAATAAAGTAATATACATGCATAACAGTATTTCAGAATTTCTCAGCACACAACATTTAAATAAAAATAAACAAAAGATGGTTTTTTGTCTGATTAAGAATTCATTTATTGCTGATAAAGGTGACTACTGAAATTCAAGAACCCACGAATCAGTTTGATTTGGTAAATACGTTGACATGGATATATGATATGATAAAATTGTATGATCCCATTTTGTTTTTTATTTTATATCTATTCTACTGGTAGCAGTACATTAAGATAGCTGCACGATAGATTTGAATCAAAGTTAATTCACCAAGTGTCAAGATACCTATCATAACGTAAATATTTAAAGATATACAAACAGAAGCACCAATGTCACCACGTGATTATTCCACTTAACGTGTCTAACTGATACGTACCCATACATTTATTGGAGCCGATGTTTGTTTGACCAATTGGACACACATGCTGATTTCCTGTCATAAAAGAACGCAATATTATATTCTAGAATCGTTCTTTGAAACATCTCAATGCAACAAGCATAGCTATGTGTATGTAGCTCTGTTAAACAATAACATATGCAATTTTTACACCATAGTATTTGTACCAGTTTTGTATGAATATGTTCACTATAAAACATTCAATTTACGTACACACCATGTTACATTTAACTATGTATGTACACACCATGTTACATTTAACTATGTATGTACACACCATGTAACATTTAACAATGTAGGTACACCATGTTACATTTAACTATGTGTGTACACCATGTTACATTTAACTTTGTATGTACACACCATGTAACATTAAACTATGTATGTACACACCATGTAACATTTAACTATGTATGTACACAGCATGTTACATTTAACTATGTGTGTACACCATGTTACATTTAACTTTGTATGTACACACCATGTAACATTTAACAATGTATGTACACCATGTAACATTTAACAATGTATGTACACACCATGTAACATTTAACAATGTATGTACACACCATGTAACATTTAACTATGTATGTATACACCATATTACATTTAACTATGTATGTACACACCATGTTACATTTAACTATGTGTGTACACACCATGTTACATTTAACTATGTATGTACACACCATGTAACATTTAACAATGTATGTACACCATGTAACATTTAACAATGTATGTACACACCATGTAACATTTAACTATGTATGTACACCATGTTACATTTAACTATGTATGTACACACCATGTAACATTTAACAATGTATGTACACACCATGTAACATTTAACAATGTATGTACACCATGTAACATTTAACTATTTATTAACACACCATGTTACATTTAAGTATGTATGTACACACCATGTAACATTTAACTATGTATGTATACACCGTATTGCATTTAACTATGTATGTACACACCATGATACATTTAACTATGTATGTACACACCACGTGACATTTAACTATGTATGTACACACCACGTTACATTTAACCATGTATATACACACCATGTAACATTTAACTATGTTTGTACACCATGTAACATTTAACTATGTATGTACGCACCATGTTACATTTAACTATGTATCTACACACCATGATACATTTAACTATGTATGTACACCATGTAACATTTAACTATGTATGTACACACCACGTGACATTTAACTATGTATGTACACACCACGTTACGTTTAACTATGTTTGTACACACCATGTTACATTTAACTATGCATGTACACATCATGGTACATTTAACTATGTATGTACACACCATGTAACATTTAACTATGTTTGTACACCATGTAACATTTAACTATGTTCGTACACCATGTTACATTTAACTATGTATGTACACACCATGTTACATTTAACTATGTATGTACACACCATGTTACATTTAACTATGTATGTACACACCACGTTACATTTAACTATGTTTGTACACACCATGTTACATTAAACTATGTATCTACACACCACGTTACATTTAACTATGTATGTACACACCATGTTACATTTAACTTTGTATGTACACACCACGTGAATTTGACTATGTATGTACACACCATGTTACATTTAACCATGTATGTACACCATGTTACATTTAACTTTGTATGTACACACCATGTTACATTTAACTTTGTATGTACACACCATGTTACATTTAACTTTGTATGTACACACCATGTTACATTTAACTTTGTATGTACACACCACGTGAATTTAACTATGTATGTACACACCATGTTGCATTTAACTATGTATGTACACACCATGTTACATTTAACCATGTATGTACAACCCAAGTTACATTTAACTATGTTTGTACACCATGTTACATTTAACTATGTATGTACACACCATGTTTCATTTAACTAACAGAACGGAATGCCGAAGGCATCGACGGTTAGGGCAAAGCAAACACAGAGGAGATGAACGTGTGTCCACGCAAGTTTTATGCAGAACTTCAAAACGTGGATGGGACCAGAGACGTACATATTATATCTACGTCTCTGATGGGACTAAATACGGCCTACATAAACAATTTTTGAATGCTAGAAATGAAGATGTCATCAACGACGATGCACAGAACTTCCAATTGGTTTTTTTCTCTCTTTGAAATTGTTTAAAGACATGAATTAGTAAATTCATTTGTTAAATTGCCTTAATTTGTCAGGTTTCGTTATAATAAAATAGTAATAGAACGGGTAATTCGGGAAATAGCAAATTAGTGGTCACCCTTGGTGAAAAACCATTTCCCTCGCCTCTGGAAATAGTTTTTCACCTCGGGGGATCATAGATTTGCTATTACTCTCATACCCAGTCTATAACTGTATACTAAAATAACTATGAGGGTAAACACTAGGACCTCCAACGGTCGATGTTACATCGTTACTTACCTGCACAATATGCCATGAAACAGGCAGGTGTCCTGGCCAAATGATAAACGTTAAAAGCTCCACAATTCTTTATCTGGATTGGCAGGGAATGATGACAGCAGGAGGATCCACCATAGGCCGTTGCGCTGGAAGCCTGACCAAAATTGATACAAGCTTTTCCAGTAATAATGCCATCAGCCACAGAGGGTAAATGACCGTTGAACCAAATGGGGGCGTTTGTGCCACAGTGATATGTTGGGACGCAGGATGTCGGCATGTCTCCATTAGCGAATTTATACCAGCCCTGTATCAGAGCATGATCACAGATAAGTCTATCCGTACCCTCGGGGATAAACGCCACGCTTCTATGGGGCTCGGAGATATCCCGGTAATTTGTGCATGGGTCTTGGATGGCCGCAACTGGGATTTATAAAGAATGTAATAAGTAAAAGTAACAGTGGTTGTGCTTTTGTTCAAATTCATCAATAAAACACAAACTAGAAATGTGTCCCATCAGGGTAAGTGTTAGGTGTAATAAGTTTTATTCAAATCCATACAGTTCTTTGGGGAGAGTAGTGAGAACAAAGTTAAGATTTATGTCTACAGACAAACGGACAGACAGACAGACGGTTAGACCCCCCTTTCCCGTTTCCATCAAACTGCTGATATACAGAAAAAAACGCACAACACCATCCCTTGCATCAGAAGTTGGGGATAGTTCGCACTTTCCTTATCAGATCCATAAACATCGTAACTGAACAGAAATACCTTGGAAGTGAAAAACAAATGGAAAATAAAAGCGATGGGAATGGCCCAAAGAAACACAATCGTATAAACCCAGAGAGAAACTAACGCCATGGTGAATATTCCATAAATAAGAGGGGTGTTTACAACACGTTCAATAGTGTGGCGCAAACATCACATCAGCACGCCTATGCGACCATGCAACACCACCAAGCAGCTATAAGTTCATCTAAATGATAAGTTGCTGAAAAGAGACAAAACAGGGGTGGTTTACCAAATTCCATGTAACAGCTGCAGCCTTACATACGTCGGAGAAACTGGCCGGAAATTTGGAACACGCCTTTAAACATCAAGTCTACACTAGAAATACAAGGAATGCGTCGGAGAAGCAATACAATACATCAGCCATGTCAGACCATGCTAACACACACAACTACACCATAGACGTGGACAACTCGAAAGTGCTCGAAAAGGAGGACCACTGGAAAGTCAGGAAAGTCAAAGAATCCATCTGGGTTAGGAGGGAAGGGGATTCGATAAACAGAGACTAGGGGGCCACCAACTGAGTTGTCTTCATGACCCCATTTTAACATCCAATAAGGGGCGGAATGGGTAAACATGGTATCCGTCCCCCTGACTGCCAGCAGTATAAGAGTACAATTGGGCGAAATGTCTCTATGATGTTTGACAACTGACTTTACTGATTCGGCTCACTGCGGCTTAGTGAGTTGTTTTCAACTCATTTACACTCTTTGCCTGACAAAGGAAACATACGTTTTCGAAAGTTCGCAAAATTAGTTTTCAATTTCAGTTTGTGTTTAAAGCAGTCTTAGTCTTTATTTAAAATGTGTGGCACCGGTATTTGAATACAATACTTGAAATATTTTTTATATCGATGTTCATTTTCAGTATAATACAATAGTTCTTATAATGGTATCAATTTATATAAAAATACAATGGTGTTAGTCCATCGCTAACACGTCCAATGATTTGTTTAAACATGATAGTAACTCAGAACGCTAATAAACTTGGAACTAGGACTTTAGTACATAACCAGTGGTAAGATTAGCCATTCCTTATATAGGTCATGTTCTTGTCTTATCTAAGATCAAGTGAACTTACACTACCATACAAGTTGAACTTAGAAAGCATTGGTTTTTTAATAATATCATTTTAGGAAACATTAATGTATCATATGTAATTAAAGGTGGAATAAAATGCTTCACCTGTGGATGTAAAATGTAGAATTTTTTCCATACCTGCATAATGAGTAATCACCTTTTAACGACAAACCAATTTTGAGCAGGTCGTGATGCTGGCCGTGACCTTCAGTTGGAATTTATTACGGCATGGTTAACAAGAAATATTTGTTGAAAATTAAAAATTTATTCTGTTGTAGCTAACAGTAGGTGCGTCCTTCTTTTTCCTAGTGATTTTACTTCTCAAACATGTTACATTCTGAGATTTTTACATGAATCAACAATGACATTACGAATGCCACAACGCAGGAACATTGTAGATAACAGGTAAAATAACACAGGAGGACATACGTGGAAGCAACAGAAACAAAACAAACAAAACCTTCGAGGGATATCTTTAATCGAACAAAACAGCACAAAGTTAATTTGGAAATGTCCATGTCAGTGTTATCGATTTCTGATAACGTGCCCACCTCGCAAGGATGAGAAATCGTATGTCTCCTTTTGTCCTCTCATGCAAAGTTAGTATGCCCTATCAACGAATATGTGTCCTATCCAAGATTGTATTTATTTTTCAAAATAATTATATGTGCTATAAAGAGTTAAATGTCCTGTCACAGGTCGTATGTCATATATACGACAAGAGATCGCATGTAATCATAGCGTGTTTTCAATAAATCTAGACAATTTCCTCAGAACCAGAAGTTCTCTTATATAAAGTGTATTTACAATGTATCATGAAGCTAAGTACGCTGCAGAAATGTTGTTGTTGGGGGTTTTTTTTTGGGGGGGGGGGGGGGGGGGTTGTGTGTGTGTTTGTGGGCCATTTTGAGAATAAGAATAAATTATGTCAACAGATCTTGTGATGAATTTACAGGGATTGTGTATCTACTCGTTTCATGTCATTTAATAATCCGTTCAGGTTACCGCTATTTTGAGAACATTGACATGATATAGCAGTGTTAATGTGTCACATTTTAATGGCGATTTTTTTTCACGGAATGTTTAGACGGGAATATAAAAAGAAAGACAATGTGAAAAAAGCCCATCAGGATTACAATGTATGCAGGTTCCTTTTGTTATTTGTTATTTTTGGCATGTTTCAAATTTCAGTTATAATAAGAAAGTTAATTAACTTCGTATATACAAAAACTAAAATTTGCAATCTCGATTACATTTGAATAAAATCAATTTGTCTGTTTAAAGAAAGCTTGACTTGAAGAGTTAAAATTGTATCATTTAAGAAAAATAACTAATGGCGAGTTTAATTTCAAAAATATTTCATTAATGAGGCAACATTAAACACATGTACATGTCGTGTAGTAGGTTTCTTACCTGCGACGATGCAAAGGGACAAAGCCAGCAAAGTTTCCATCTTGCCGTCGCGGAACCCAACACAAGTGTGGTGACCTGGTTCTGCTCAGACAATTACCTTACTTGGCAAAGATAAGATGAAATCTGCCCTTGTCGTTAAAAGTAATGGTTGATGTATATAAAGGTATTATCAAAGGTTGAACCTGTGACCCCCACGTCAGAAGGACTAACATAGAACCTATAATGAGATCTGTGCTGTGTCAAACCAGTGCCACAAATAAACTGATTTTACAAGATAATGTTGTCCAGCGATTTTTTTGCAAGGAGATACAGTTGATAGCAATGTTTATTATTGAACAACTTTTTAATTTATTATCAATCAAAAGTTCAATGATAAGTCTCGTGTTTGGTAAGTTAGAATTTACCCCGCGTTACATTTCTTATCTTACTCCGTTGTACGTGAACGATTCTATAAATCCCACATGGTTTTACTCGGTTAACTTTACTATTATGACCTCACAGACAGATGAACATCTTAAATTCATAGTTCCAATCGAAAACCGACAAAACGTAGATTCACCTGCTACGGCGCCGGCAACTGACACCAACCCGTCAAAAAAAGCCTGCCAGGATCGTTGTGCATGTTTATTTCAATATGTGGTCTTGGTCCATTATTTACCTGAATTTCTAAGCTAGAATACCATGATACATGTTCCATTAAGACCTACCAACTACTCCCTCATTTTATAGGTGCATCAGGTGTTCCTTCCCATCCATTCCAGGTACAACAGCTCCCTATCACCACAGGGAAAGTAACAATACCATCCCTAACAGGAGCAAGTAATGTCTGTACCCAAACCGGGGATCAAACAAGTGACTCACGACTTCCCAGTCCACTGTTCTGCTAGAAAGGTGATTTTTTACAGTATGTACCATTTGCATGCTTTACATTACTTTGCAATAGTGTATAATGGAAAAGAACAAAATAAAGGGTCATTTCTGTGGATCAAACCACATAAGCACATTATTTACACAATCACACATAAAGGAACATTGCCAATTACACATGAAGGAACATTGTCTATCACACATGAAGTAACATTGCCAATTACACATGAAGTAACATTGTCAATCACACATGAAGTAACATTGCCAATTACACATGAAGTAACATTGCCAATAACACATGAAGTTACACTGTCAATTACACATGAAGTAACACTGTCAATCACACATGAATTAACACTGTCAATCACACATGAATTAACACTGTCAATCACACATGAAGTCACATTGCCAATTACACATGAAGTAACAATGTCTATCACACATGAAGTAACATTGTATATCACACATGAACGAACACTGTCAATCACACATAAAGTAACATTGTCTATCACACATGAATTAACACTGTCAATCACACATGAAGTCACATTGCCAATTACACATAAAGTAACATTGTCTATCACACATGAAGTAACATTGTATATCACACATGAACGAACACTGTCAATCACACAAAAAGTCACATTGCCAATTACACATAAAGTAACATTGTCTATCACACATGAATTAACACTGTCAATCACACATGAAGTCACATTGCCAATTACACATAAAGTAACATTGTCTATCATACATGAAGTAACATTGTATATCACACATGAACGAACACTGTCAATCACACATAAAGTATCATTGCCAATTACACATAAAGTAACATTGCCAATTACACATAAAGAAACATTGCCAATTACACATAAAGTAACATTGCCAATTACACATGAAGTAACACTGCCAATTACACATGAAGTAACATTGCCAATTACACATGAAGTAACATTGTCTATTACACATGAAGGAACATTGTCTATCACACATGAAGTAACATTGCCAATTACACATGAAGTAACATTGTTTATCACACATGAACGAACATTGCCAATCACACATGAAGGATAGTTGCTACGACTGTTATATCATTGCAGACCATATCCATAAAATTGATATCTTATAGTTATGAGGAGACTATATATTCCATACCAGCGATGTCTTCGCGTCTCAGCTTGAAGCGGTTGATATGCTAAGTTCATATAATGAAGTCGATATACTTTATATACTTTGTATTTTGTAAACGATTTTTTTCCCATGAACTTTATATTCAGTAGCCGGATTTCAAAACATTTTAGGATGTATATGCACATATCAGAGACTTAAACAGGGCAAAATGAGATTCCTGGATTACATGCATTGACCAGAACGGACGCTACACAGGGTTTTCAGAAATTGGCAAAAAACGTCAGTTTACCTTGAGGATTTATGGAAGGATATTTCCTACGATGGTAGGTGCAGAACGGTTTCATTATCTGTGGTTACTGACAAACCAAATTTGTGGAGACACAGTATGTTGTGTCGATCACAGAAGCACAATACACTCTTTCTACCCCGTCAAGACACTATTCGCCATCATATCAGGATATCAAAATATCGAACTCTGGTGATTGGCTTCGTTGGCTGCATTGTTTACATGTCTAGATATCCCACCTCCATCTCGCCACGGACATGCTGATAGAGATATCCCACCTCCATCTCGCCACGGACATGCTGATAGAGATATCCCACCTCCATCTCGCCACG